TTTTTTTTTTTTTTTTTTTTTTTTTTTTTTTTTTTTTTTTTTTGTCTTTTTTCCGTGTCCGGCAACGGATCGCAACCCTCAGTGTTGCCCCCCGTACCGGACAGGGGACCGGCAACGGGATCGCAAGCCTCGGTGTTGCTCCCGCGCCTCGCTCAGCCAGTGAGCGGGAGCCGGTCTGTATGTGGGATCCGAACCCTCGGACGGGAGCGCCGCCGCGCTTCCCAAGCGGCACACTATCCAGTGCGCCACCGGGCCGGCCCTTGAGGTTCTTTTTGTTTGTACTGTTGCCTTTGAGTTCAGGCAGGGCAATACTAGAAGAGAAAAACAAAGGGAAACTTATTGCTGTTTTCAGTAGTACTTCAAGTTCTGGTTTACTTCCCCAGTCTGTTAAGGTTTATAGAATTCTTAGTATTAATGCTTGAGTATAGAAAGTGCTCATTTTAGCCATTCAGTGAAAAATATTATTTTTCTAACTCTACAACTTTGCCAAATGTTGTGTGTAATTTAATTATCTTTCTAACTTCTTGTTCTACACACAACACTATAGAGAGCCCCAAAGTAAGTTGATTGTGTTGACTTTCTCCTGTTGAATAGCAGAAACGTAATGGAGTGTTCTGGGCCACAAGATTCCAAGGATCTTTTGCAGAACCCTCAGAGTCGACAAGAAAAAAGACAGAAGAGTGATCAACGACTAGGTAACTCTTTCAGACTGGGTAAGCTTTCATTTCAGCACGTTCATGCTGCTTAGAATGCTGTTTCAGAGAGTTCCTAATTTCAATGTTATTTTTATCTTTAAATCTCTGTCTGTATTATGCCCTGCTCATTGTATTTTGTTCCTTTATGGATAATATGTTATTTTCCTGCCACAGAAAATCCAACTGAGTTGCGGCCTAAGAGTACTGTTGGGGATCAATTGAATGAAACCATGTTTCTACTCAGGTATGTAAAAAAGAAAAAGCAATAATGGATCAATAACAAATAAAAGTTAAGTCTTTTTAAAAGCATCTTCTGTCCTGGTGGCAAACTGTGTTACACAGAGATTAAAAGACAGGGATATTGACGACAAATTCCAGTTTTGCTCTCCATTTTCTTTTTTTTTTTTTTCCTTTTTGTCTTTTTTACTGACCGGTAACAGGATC